TCAGCGTCACTCTGAGACAGGATATTTCTAATTTTAGAGATGTTGCGCAAATGGAAGAACGCAGTCTTACATATTTGTTATATGTGCGATTCCACAAAAGGCAGCAAAAACTGCTCCTATGACCAGGAAAAGGTAAGAAAAAATCCTTGAAAACATTCTGAACATCAGACCTCAAATCTTTCCCCTGACCATTGAAAAAGTTTTCGCAATTATTGGTTGGCACAGTTTTGACAAACCAGTAAATGCTGCCAGACAAGTATAAATGATCAGCCTGCTGATTAAAATTGCTCCCTGGCCCACAAACAAAACAGCAGATCTAAGTGTTCTCCCTGACCCTCTGTCAGTATCTTCCTTGCTCTGTTCTTCATTTCTCCCTAGACTGTGACTTTTCAGACGCAGTACTTATAGGGGGCTAAGTTTTCTCACAAACAACAATGTGTTTGAAGTCCACTGACTTATCATTTTGTAGACTGTCATGAAGCATAACAGCAGCAATATGTCAGGTCAAGTCGAAGTTTATTCTTATAGCATATTTTAAACAAACTCAGCTGACCAGAGTGCTGTACAAGTCATACAGTATAGACACTATATATAAAAGTCACTAAACAACAATAAATATACACCAAAAAAAAGAAAAGAAATAAAACTAGAGAATGCATTTCCTGAAGAAAATGTGGTGTGAATGCTAAAAAGTTGTTTTTACTGAATCTTAACTTAATCAGCAGAAACACACAGACTCATTCACCTGGAGTCTAAAGTGCAGAACTGGTGAAAGCTGAAGTTCATGTAGAAGAAGAAGTTTTAAAGTTTTAAAGAAAAGCAGGTAAATATCCTTAAATTGTACATTAGAAAAAGCTGTCTAATTGAAAAACTATATTTAGACTGAGAAAAATTCTGAATGAATATTGAAAGCTCACAGACCTTATATCACTTTAAGACTGGAATTATGTATAATTGTATATATAATTATGTCCACCACAGATTCTAAAACTGACTGTAACTGCCCAGATATGAACCACCTGTCTGCTGAAGAACAATCCACCAATTAAAAACAAGCCTGAAGTTTATGTGCCAATCAGAATGACCCATCATTCCCATATATTTAAATTTACCATCTGAAAATAACTGCCAACAGCTTTCAGTGTGACTGCATTAAATACTGGCATACTGTTACTTTGTGACAAATCCCAGTCATATCTGCCTGGTGCACCTGTTGAAAAAAAGTTTCTAAATCAAGGAGGATGCTGAGGACTTCCTACACAACAGTGTGTTTTTTATGTTCCTGATGTCAAAAATGTGATCGCATAAGCAGTTTAAATAGTAGGGTTTTCCCTGCTGTTGAGACAAAATCCTCACTGAAAATACAATGTATTTTTTATGCTCTATGCTTCAGTTACAAGGTGCATCTTCTACTTGGATCCACACAGTTCAAAAAGTTTGCATCGTTTGAAAGACAACAATGGTCCTACGTTGTGAGGGTAAAACGATGTCTGTAGAGTTAAAAATGTGGAAACTGCAACAGTTTTTCACATTATATTTTCCATCAAATATCATATCATATTTGACCTCTGATCTCACTTTTACATTTCACATCTGCCTTTCTTTCAAGTTTACCCAAAGACTTGTTGTTTTTACTGCACTACAAACTTCCTAAAATACCTCTAAAGAGAAAAAAAGAAAAACTTAAAAAGTACATACTGTTCAGATAGTGAGCTGCCGTGGTGGCGATTTGCGCTCTCAGAGCGCTTCTTTAGCATTCTGTTAGTCACAGGCCAATACGACGACTCTCCACTAGGTGGAGCTGGTGTGCTTTATTCCGGCGCTCACAGGAGAAGAAGAATGAACCTTAACTCTTCCTGTTGAAGAGGACAGAGCAGAACACTGAACTAAATGTTTATTGATGATACTAAAATCGCCCAATCAGGGAAGGTGACAGTGTCTGGGGCCGATGTTGACACTCAGGTGCGTTTTGAGATCATCTGCAAAGCTTCTGGTCTCGTTCCCAGCTTTGAGACACAACACCAGGCTGCAAAACAGGTATGTTGTTGTTGATTATTCTTACAGCTGTGAGCTAAGCAAAGTGTCATGAATTTGCAAACTTTGGGTTATGTCAGCAAATTAGAGCATAAAAACTTGAAGATTTCAAATACTGATTTATTTGTAGGTTTTGTTTTACAGATGTCTACCTGTCCTTGAAAGCCACAGTGAGTGCAGTGAGCTGCAGTCAGTAACTGTATAACAGAGTAGTTAGAGCAGTAGTTAATGATCAGCTGTGGTGGTGGTTGACCTGAATGTTTTCTTCAGCCTGCAGCTGAAAAACAACCTCTTCTCTGCGCAGCATGTCCGGCTCACTTCACCCGCTGGCCGCTGTCTGTCAGGTGACAGCCACCCCTGACAAAGAGGCCAACTTCTCTGCCTGCAAACAGCTGGTGGAGGAAGCCAAGCAGCGAGGGGCCAGCATGGTCTTCCTGCCTGAGGGCTTTGACTACATTGGATCCAGCAGAGAGGAGACGCTGGCGCTGTCAGAGAGCCTGGCAGGAGGCACGATCTCAAGATACACTCAGCTGGCCAGGTAAACACACAGCCTTCAGGCTCTTTTATCCAGCGCCAACAATGAAAC